TTAAGTCAACAAACAAAGCGTTTACAATGCCCCTTCACTAAACTACAGAGATACCCCATCACCATCCATCCACCTTCCCTAGTTTCTCTCCTGATGCAATAGAGGAAGTGTCTGAGGTCAAGCCCTTCACCTGTGCTTTCCATCATCCCACCTTCTCCAGAGGCATACATTACCTTTTCACATCCCTCTTCTTACCTTTGCCAAGATTGTCTTACTGCATTCTTACCTCAAGAATTTTTCTCAATCCCAACTCTCACTTTGGGGGTTTACAATCAGCCTGCTTTTTCAGCCCTGCAGATTTAATTTCTGGAGTCTTTTGATTTCCTTTTGTTTTTTCCTACAAACTCACCAATTCTTTCCTGAGTTCATCTCTTTCTTATAATTGAGGAAATCGCTAATAATTTCCAACATTGTTTTTGACATGTCTTTCATATGTCCACTGGATCCATTCTCCACCCTGCACCTGGAGGCTGATCTGTAAGGATAACGTCAAGCTCCCTTGCCCTTGCTCCTAGTTGGTTTTGGCTAATGGGGAGCCATTGAAGGAGATAGGAGGCAAGAGGAAGAAAGTGAGAGTATTTTCTGGCTCCTTCTCAGCCAAGTTGCCTTAGGCTTGCTGTCTCCCTCTAAATGAAGACCACATCTTATCCACAATTCTCTCCCCCAGGTTTAACTCCTCCCTCAAACTTCACTCCTTGAATGCAGGGGTGGTAACGGCCCTGTAATTAATTGGTAGCCCCATGTACTACACTATTCTCTACTTTCTAAACTGTCTTTTTGTCAAACTTCTTTTGAATTACCCTAACTTGAATTGCCGTCTATTCTTGCTGAGGCCGATATTCACATAAATACCCTGATTATTTCCAATTACTTTTTTTTTTTTTTTGCTTCCAGGAACCAATTTCTGTTGTAACTAGAATCCTTTCAGCTGCAAACCAAGAAGCATAATTTGACCTATCTTAGGCCAAAAGTGGCATTTATTACCTTGAAAATGAAAACTATGCAAATAAGAATACAGTTGGGCCTCACAGGAGTTTAGAACTAGGACTCTCTCTAGCTTTGTCATTAGAAAAAAGTGGCTCTCCTTCTTCAGTTTCAATTAGAAAAACTAAGTAAGGACCTGGCCTGGCCTGAATCACATGCTTAATCCTGTGCGCAGACAGATGGAGTACTTACTAGTACTGGCAGCCCTGGGAGAACCACGTGGTGGGAGTGGGAGCAGCAGTCCCCAGAATTAAATGGCTGTTACTCCCAGACATTTTCAATCACTCCCTGATTGTAATGACTCCACAGCAGAAATTATATTAGGAATTTATATCTACTGGCAACTTCTTAGGTCTAGATTTGGGGCTCCTATACTGTCAAATTTTTCTACTAACTGAGAATATCTCTATGAGTGCAAAGTCCACAAAGTAAAAGATATGGTCACCTCTTTGTGAAATGGGGGTAAAGGTAGAGAAAGAAGGTATGAAAAAACAATTGTGCACAATGGAGGTCAACTTTACCAGGAAATTGTAGTAGGAATACCAGATAGTACTGAGATAGGGTAATCATGAATTCATAGAGAATCCAATTGCCTTGTATGACTTTTTCTCTGGCAGCATTTGGCTGCTCGGTTGCAAATACTGGAAAAACTAAGTTGTTTCATTCAAAACAGACTTGGGGATTTTTCTAAATTTTTCTATGCATGGTAAAAAGCAGATAAGAAACAGCATTGAGGGTACTGATATGAGTGCTACAACTGGTAATACGGTTTGTGGAATCTCAGCTGGAAACAGAGAGACATGAAGAGAGACTTATAGATAGGGGGAGAAAGACAGGTGAGAGAACTGGGGGTCTCATTTAATGTAAAAACTGTGGTTGGGGCGATAACTGAACAATACAATCATGTATTTATCTGCAGACACAAACAGCAAATACATACATTCCTTTATTAGGGTAGCCCTTGCACTTATAAAGAAATCTTCCTCAAAAAGAAAATACACAAAATGATGAAGCTACGATAGTTTATTTCAACATACTAAACCAAAAAAATAAGAAAACAACTCATTTATTTGGAAAAAAACAAATTCTGTACACACAGGGTAGACTTGATTGACCATAACGTATTTCAGGAAAAAAAAAATTAGATATACCACACATAATAAAGCTTTCTATGTACACAGTAAATAGTAAATAACTTTGCTAAATGACTGGACCTTTGAAATAATGAAAACACAGTTGCAAAACAAAGTACATAAGAATATTGTGACCTCATTTAACTGTACAGAAAGCAATCATTCTCTAGCCTTCCATTTTCACTTACATTTTCTTTAACAGGATTAAGCCCCAAGTAGAAGGGATTAAATCCTTTCTTCATAATGCCTCAGGAATATTAGATTCTCTTCCAAATCTTTAGCTGTTTACAAAGGAGCAGACCACTTAAAGGGAAACGGTGGGAAACAAAGAGATTAGAATTCTGTGCCACTCATCCAGATTCTGCTGAAGATGATTTCCCAAGTCCACTATCAATCCACTCAACTTCGTTTAAAAACATAATACCTAATTGTAGGACTAATTTGGCTTTCATTTAGCGCATCTGCAGCTTTATCATTAAAAATCAGCTCCTGACATTAGCCCTTAGCTTAATATCCACAAATGAAATTTGGGAATTCTATGACAGTAATGTTAGCATATTTAAGTGTAAAATGCAAAATGATTTATTTTAAAATATGCAAATGGCTACAATTTCTCAATAATCACTTTGTTCATGCACAAAAATGGCAACAGAAAAAGCAGAAAAATCTGGATGTTCCTAAATGAGACAATGAGACAACTGTAAAAATTTCATATATTAATATCAAGACAAGACTGGGGCCAGCTTACATTGTAAGAAAAACTATTATTGTATAAAATTGGACAGCAAAACCCAGTTCTGTCTAAAAGCAATGGATCAAACTATCTTCTCAAGTCCTTCCTGGCCATATTTCTATGTGCTACAATGAAACATTTTTAATAAATGCAATCTATCATAGAATTACAAGTTTTTAGATTCCTAAATAATGAATTTAATTTTAACTAGTATAGCAATGATTTAAATACAAGTGCTGTAAAAAAGAGAAAACAGTCGTAAACACAATAACACACTCTTAATTTTTTTCTTTACCTGCAACATAATATTTTAAAAAGATTCCACATCTTCTTGATTCTTTAAGAACTAAGAACCAAAGTATTGAACATAATAAATAAATGTGCAACCTGGAGGCCTGGAAAAGGATATAGAATACCAAATAATAAACCAGTGCATTAAAAATCCAGTATTTCAGTATTAAGACTTCTTCATCCAAATCCAGTTAGGTTTACTGCTATTATAAATATGGTTCACATTAAGGCATTTGTCATTACCTATAAAAAAGATTTGGATTCAAAACAAAGAAATATACACTGTACAACTTTTTTCTTTCATTCTGATGTTATATATATTATCAGTTTTAAATGTTTAGTTTTTGTATGGTAATATATAAATATCTTTAAACATATTACCTGAATATAGTTCAAATATTTCTCTATATTTTGATACTTTAACTTATATATTTAAAGCATATTCAATGAATGAGGAAATAGACAAAAGTAAATCAACATAGACGGCAAAGGACTAAATATAAGACATTACCACCTCTAAAGAAAATACTGTACAGACAGTGACGATGAGCGGATCTTGGCCAAGTCATTTAGCTTCCTTGAGCCTCATTCTTTCCATCTGTAATATTTCAATAACAGTTGCTCTGTTAAGCTGTTTTGAGATCAAATGAGATGAAGTAAAAACACTTGACAAACTGTGAAGCAATGCAAAAATAAATGGTATTATCATAGGCCAAAAGAGCACACGTTTCTGACAGTCTCTCCAATGAATAAAGTTATGGCCTACTCCTTTTGCACTCACTTGAGAACTCCCAGTTTTGATTAGATTGTTATGGAAAGAATGGAGCCAAAATTTATGTAAAGAGAAAATCTCTAAGTTTTAGCATCCAGAATTATATAAAGTACAGTTTGTTGGGAATGGGAAACACCTACCTGAAGGGGTATACAGAATACCAAATCATAAACTAATATATTAAAAATCCAGTATTTCAGTATCAACACTTCTTCATCCAAAGATAGGTTTAACTCTAACTAGGCTCAGGCTACCTCTTGATACTTACTAAAAATAAATAGGGGCAGACTTCTCAAAAACCTTCGTTCCTCGCCTTTCCTCAGTCTCTTCTAGAGGGTCCTCCGTTTCCCTCACCATTGGCTTTCATGTAGCATAGTCACATTAAAAGAACTATCTCTTGGCTGGGCATAGTGACTCACACCTGTAATCCCAAGAGCTGGGAGGCCGAGGTGGGTGGATCACGAGGTCTAGAGATTGAGACCATCCTGGCCAACATGGTGAAACCCTGTCTCTATTAAAAAGACAAAAATTAGCTAGGCATAGTGGTAGGCACCTGTATTTCCAGCTACTTGGGAGGCTGAGGCAGGAGAATTGCTTGAACCCAGGAGGTGGAGGTTGCAGTGAGCAGAGATCGCACCACTGCACTCCAGCCTGGTGACAGAGCAAGACTCCATATCAAATAAACAAACAAAAAAACAAAATAAAACTATCTCTTATAACAGCTCAAAAGAGTTTTAAAAGCATAAAGAAACACAGCCAAAGTCAATTGCTGGTACACTATTCAGCCTGGCATAAATTTGAAACGATTCAATAATCCCTACCGTGTGCTCTCCTTTTCTTAGTCCATAAGCCTTTCCTCTACGTGTAAATGGTTCTAGGCCAGCTTTTTCCAACCTTTGTTCTGAGGAACACTAGCTGGATGAGATGTTAACAGGTGAAAAACATCTGTGTTACGTATGTTGGGGATTTGCAGGGTGAGATAAATTTATGTGCCACTGAATTGCTCAGTCTTTGATGACTATACTTGCTCAAGAGAATGAAGTGTTCAGCATTTCCCAAACTCATCTGAAAACAGAATCCCTTTGTCCCCCACAAAATATCTAGAGGGGCTAACAGCTCCTATAATATTCTTTGGAACATGCTACTCTAACCTGATTCTGAACATTCCAGGGCTAAATCTGGCAATAGTTATATTTTTAATTTCTGAAGAAGAATCATTTTGCTTACAAAGTCAACCACCAGGATAACCTCCTGGTTTCTACTCCATAGTAGGCTTCCCAAAGCAACTAAGAACTAAATTTTCTTTACTACATACTGAGGAATTCAAAGAACCTATTCTTGTGTTAACGAGAATTATGTTCTTTTTAAGGAGATACTTATGTTCTTTCCCCTAAGCATTAAAAATACAAAGATCTAATTCTAGATCCTAGGACCTAGAATCACAATTACTTTAAGGAAATGAGAGTATTTTATTACAACATCACTGCAATTAATATTATCAGCAACATGATAATCAGTAGTGGTGTAACAGTAGTAGTGTTGGTTAAGCATTTAGTTTTGTATCCTAATCCTCATATCCACTCTATGAATTTAGGACCCACTATTACTCCCATTTTAAAGTCAAGTACACTGAGGTTTACCAAGATTAACTGACCTGCCAAGGATCACACACTAGAGTTAACGACAGAACCTTAAACTCATGTCTGGCCCCTCACCCACACTCTTAACTACATAATGCCATTTTATATTTCAGTGACAAGACAAAAGCATTTAGGTCACATTCTTGTTAAACAGGAAAATTATATAAATGCAAACTGTTTGGAATAGGTTTTGGATTTCCTTTAGAGCAAATCCCCAGTTCTTTAAAGAATATACTTTTAAGGTTTTTTTTTTTAAAGCAGAGGAAAGTAGACTACTATTTATCAATGACAAGTTTATACAATTTTAAAACAAGAGGTTTTTAAAAATCTGCATCCAAGGTGAAGACGTTGTCTGTGGTTTCTGCCATAACTGCAAAACGCTGATACTCTGAGACTCGTTTCTCAAAGAAATTTGTTTTTCCTTCTAAAGAAATGTTTTCCATAAAATCAAAAGGATTTTCTGCCTGAAAAAACTGAAAGAGAAAGAAATGTTATTAGACATTCTGAAGAGATCAAATTACATCCCCCAAGAAGGGCAAAGATGACAAAAACAGAGGTCAGGTTTCTCAAAACCTGTCTAGTCAGCTTTAAGATCACATCATTCCCCTAAGACTTGGGAGGCACTCAAGGGTGACAAATTTTAAGATGATCAACATCAACTACTAACACCTCAAGAAACTACACTAGCATCTCTGGTATTCTAACAAATAGAAAAAACAACTATTTCAGGAAATAAAATATTTAATACTAACCAGTTGAAAATGTTCTTGCAGCTTGAAACAGCCAATACAACATAGAAACTATGAGCATTTATAGGTACTACTAATAGATAATCACGCATATATGATACTACAAAATGTTAAATTAGCAACAATCTACTGTGGTTCTAAACATGCTTCTTAGTTCATAAGAGAAGAGATCATTGCAAATTGAAGGGACCATGATCAGGGAAGACAGAATAAATGTTATTCATAGTGACTAGATGTCTCCAAATAAAAAGGGGGACTATGCTGGCAAGAAGCTTTTTACTGCTTCAGAATTCAAGAAGCACAGTGGCTCACGCCTGTAATCCCAGCATTTTGAGAGGACCAGGTGGGCGGATCACCTGAGGTCAGGAGTTCGAGACCAGCCTGTCCAACATGGTGAAATCTCATCTCTACTAAAAATACATAAATTAGCTGGGCATGGTGGCAGGTGCTTGTAATCCAAGCTACTTAGGAGGCTGAGGCAGGAGAATTGCTTGAACCTGAGGGGTGGAGGCTGCAGTGTGCCAAGGTTGCACCATTGTACTGCAGACTGGGCAATAGAGCAAGACTCCATCTCAAAAAAAAAAAAAAAATTTCAAGAAGCAGACTTGGGGATACAGCTGTGGGATATTTCAGTGAATCACAAGGAGTAACAAAAGAAGATTTCTCAATTTAGGAGTATCCCAGCAAAAATATGAACACCACAGATAAACATATATTTAAGTAACTCGATTTTAAATATGGGCAGTGTTTAAATAGACAAACTGATACTTCTTTTAAAAAAATATACAAAATGAAAAGATGTTCAACATCATTATCCACTAGAGACATGCAAATCAGGATCACACCTACTCGGATGTAATTTTTTTTTAAAAACAGCTAGTAAGTGTTGGTGAGGATGTGGAGAAATTGGAACCCTCATACATTGGTGGGAATATAAAATGTGCAGCTGGTTTAGAAAACAGTCTGATAGTTCTTCTAATGATTAAACATGGAGTAACCATATGACACAGCAATTTCACTCCTAGTTATATACTCAAGAGAAATGAAAACATGTCCACACAAAAATCTGTACATGAACGCTCATAGTAGCATTATTCACGATAGCTCAAAAGTGGAAACAAACTAAATGCCCACTGAATGGATAAATAACATTTGATATATCCATACAGTGGAATATTATTTGATCATATAAAGGAATAAAGCACTGATACATGCTGCAACATGAATACACCATGAAAACGTTACACTAAGGAAAGAAGAGAACCATAAAAGGCCACATGCTATATGATTCCATTTGTATGAAACAGAATATACAGAATAGGCAAATCTATAGATACAAAAATTAGATTAGCGATTGCCTAAGGCAAGGCGGTTAAGGGGAGGAAAGGGGAGTGAGTGACTGCTAATAGGGACAGAGTTTCTTTTCGGGGTGATAAAAATGTTCTAAAATAGGTTGTTATGATGGTTGCACAACTCTGTGACTACACTAAGAACTACTGAATTGTACATTTTAAATGGGTGAATTGCATGCTATGTGATTTACATCTTTAAATAAAGCTTTAAATATCTATATATCTTTTTTCAAAAAAAAATCTCATATACTGTGTGTGGCTGAATGAAATTCTGTGAAATTCCCCATCAGAAATTGTGTGTAAAAAGTGAGGTAAAATTGGAGCTGTAATACACAGCAAGATACAGTGAAAGACATTCAACCAATAGCCATAGACTCACTGGATTTTAGAACTGAAGACTTTTCAAAAAATTGGATCTAAGCCATTCACAGCATGGACAAGGTAACCAACATCAAACTAAATTAAGTGGCTTTTTTTTTTTTTTTTTTTTTTGAGATGAAGTTTCACCTTTGTTGTCCAGGCTGGACTGCAATGGCACAAGCTCGGCTCATTGCAACCTCCGCCTTCTGGGTGCAAGCGATTCTCTTGCTTCAGCCTCCCAAGTAGCTGGGATTACAGGCACCTGCCACCACACACACACATACAAAAAGCCAATTTTTGTATTTTTAGTAGAGACGAGGTTTTACCTTGTTGGCCAGGTTGGTCTCGAACTCCTGACCTCAGGTGGTCCACCAGCCTCAGCCTCCCAAAGTGCTGGGATTACAGGTGTCAGCCACCGTGGCTGCCCAAGTGGCTTGTTTTTGACACACAGAAGTACTCTAGGCCGGGCACGGTGGCTCATGCCTGTAATCCCAGCACTTTGGGAGGCTGAGGTGAGCGGATCACATGGAGGGAGGGAGAGAGAGAGAGAGAGAGAGAGAGCGGGAGAGAGAGAGAGAGAGAGAGCGCGAGAGAGAGAGGGAGAGAGCGCGCATGCACGCACGCAAGAGAAAGGGTCTCTACTCTGTTGCCCAGGTTGGAGTGCTGTGGCACAATCTCGGCTCACTGCAACCTCTGCCTCCCGGGCTCAAGTGATATTCCCAGCTCAGCCTCCCAAGTAACTGGGACTATAGGCATGCCACCATGCCCAGCTAATTTTTTGTAGAAATAGGGTTTCGCCATGTTGCCCAGGCTGGTCTCAAACTCCTAGACTCTTCCACCTCAGCCTCCCAAAGTTCTGGAATTACAGGTGTGAGTCACCGTGCCGGGCCTAAAGGGTATATTTTTAATCTCTAAGTAGATGAAGCTTTTTGGCAATTTTTAAATCAATTTCTACTTTTATTGCATTAAAAATTTATGGCCGCCATAATTTCTGCTTTTTAGAATTTATTCAGATACTTAGAAGCCTGTGGAAAAACAAAGTTTTACATTGTAATTAGATCTTCTTCTGCAGGAGGCAGCATGTTTTACATACCTCCAGTTAACTAGTTCCCAAAAGGAAAATTAGACCCAAGGGTCAGTGGTTTTCTAATAGACCGCAGAACATAAATGTTTGGATGTGGGGATATGGTGGTAATGGGTTAAAGAATAATGAATTCGCTGTAAGACTTAAATAAGTAAATTAATTTTCTAATAACAAACATATTGGTAAAAGTTATGAGCAAGCACAATTTCTTTCAATATACATAGTTTATAAGTTTAGGATATTATATTAATATAGTTACACTCTAATTATTTCTCATTAATTAGTAAACACAAAGAGGATCTTGCAACTCAAACATTAAAATGTAGTTTATCTTACCAAAAAACCCTTCACCCAACCTGACTCATTAAGTACTTGGGTGGTTATCAGAATATAATTCTGCTGTATCTGCTAATACAACATTAGCAAGATAGATAAAGATTTACCACAGCATCATAGATTTCATAAGGATTCTCATTAAAGACAATTTAAACTTACATTTTCATGACAAGAAATCAAAATCTATAATTTCTAATTACCATGGTATAGTACATAGTGAATTTCTGTGTTTCACGTAAGTATAAAGTGATCATCTAGTGTGAATTTGCTATGTGTCTAATATTATTTTAACTGCTTTAGGTGTAGCAACTCATCAACAATCCTTTGTAGTAAATATTACTATCTCTGTTATATAGGTGAGGAAATTCAGATAGAGGTTAAGTAACTTGCCAAAGGTCGGTCATATAGCTAGAAAGTGGTGGAACCCAGGATTCAAACACAGATAGTGTGGCTGCAGGCTCCATGTCTTAAGTAATGGAAAAACCATATGTTTTGATGAAATTCTGGTACATTATCTTTGTTAAATGACAAAAATAACTTGGATAATTCTGTTCAAAACGTTACATTATGACAGTTAATGTCTTCCTAATAATTATTCCCTATTTAAAAGTATTAACTCCCAAACTACAATATAGACACATGGGGATTTATATGAGGGTGAATATATATATGGATATTAAATCTAATTCCTTGAAAATAATTTTATTAAATATATAGCTGCAATTATTAAAAAACAATTTATTGAGCTTATTAGTTCTAATATTTACCAACCTCCTGCTTCTGTTATTAATTTTAAATTTCAAAGGATTTTGCAAAATCTTGTTCATACGAAACAAGTCTCTGTCATGGACATTTAAAAAATAGAATAGTATGCTGCAAATGCTTTCAGTAAAATGTATTTTAGGGTCCTTGCCTTCCTATAATATCTTAACTAGTAGTAGTACATTTTTAAACACCTTACCTTTGAAAATCCAAGTTCCACAAGTAATCTGTCAGCTACAAACTCAATGTACTGTTTCATCAAAATGCAATTCATACCAATGAGGCCAACTGGCAAGGCTTCTGTTAAAAACTCCTGGATGAAAACAAAACCAGAATAAAGTACAAACAAAACTATAAAAATATATTTTCCAAATACAAAGAGGATTTTCGTTTTATTTCTAAGACACTGATTTTGTCCAGGGAAAATATATTAGGATAAATTCTTTCAATGTGGCAAATAATGGCCATAAGTTTAAAAATGTTTGGAGTATTGGCCGGGCGCGGTGGCTCAAGCCTGTAATCCCAGCACTTTGGGAGGCCGAGGCGGGTGGATCACGAGGTCAAGAGATCGAGACCATCCTGATCAACATGGTGAAACCCCGTCTCTACTAAAAATACAAAACATTAGCTGGGCATGGTGGCGCGTGCCTGTAATCCCAGCTACTCAGGACGCTGAGGCAGGAGAATTGCCTGAACTCAGGAGGCGGAAGTTGCGGTGAGCCGAGATCGCGCCATTGCACTCCAGCCTGGGTAATGAGCGAAACTCCGTCTCAAACAAAAACAAAAAACAAAACAAACAAACAAAAAAAAATGTTTGGAGTATTACTATTCACAGTTTTTCATGTTTTCAAAGAGCCAAAATAAATGGAAACGAACTAACAAATTACTGGATTTCTTAAAGTAGCAGATATGAAACTTGGATTGGTATGCTTTCTCAATAGAAAAAGGGAGATACTTTGTTCTAAAATATCTAGAAAAAGATTCAAAGATGATCATCATAAAGAACATAACTATGGAAGGGAGCTAGAAAAGAGAGAAAAACTCAATTAACAAAATGAGAAAAAAGACAGAAGCAGATTTGGGGGTTGGGAGATAAAATGAATTCCAACCATACTGAAAGACTACAGTGGTAAAGTGTTAATAGAGGAAAAATAAAAATAACCACTTGGATTTAGTTGACAAAATTATTAAAGATACCAATGTGCCTGTTATGCCTTTTTCCTCTTCCAATATACAAACTATGCCTGTTAAACTATGCAGTGTTAAAAAAAAAAAAAGTAATTTTAGAATGATAAAAACACATTCTAAGTAGAGCATATAGCTCTTTCTAGTAAGAAATCTTTACATACTTTAACTTAATTGTTACTATTCATTAACTTACTTATTCATTCTATAAAAATTTGTGTATGCTTCAAGCTAGGTACCTTGCTATGCTATTAAAAATACAAAACAAATTAAAAAATCATCACTGTTCTCCAGTCACCAAAAATATAAAAATACAAAGCTACTATAATTAGCTTATAAATTATAAACTGACATAATAATTGTAACATATCATGTATTGGTATTATCAGACTGACCATATAAAATTGCTGGTATTTTTGTTGATCTACAAAATGACAATTTCATATGAGTCAATCTAATAGCGGTATGAACATCAGAGAAAGAGAGATGTGCTAATTACACAAACTTCCTGGTTTACCTGCTCAATTTTGACAGCATCAACAATGATCTCTCTGACCCTTTCTTCTGAAGGTTTATTTACTAAGTATTGAAACATCAGGCATGCAAAATCACAGTGAAGTCCCTAAAAGGGAAGAAAAATGTCATTGTCAAATAAGTTTTAATCAGCTACTTGCACACAATGATGGGTCAAGCATTGTATAATGTGGTTCTAGGGATATAACACAGAACTTCTGGGAAATGGAAGAGGGGTTAATAGGACTAGGAGCTTCCTTCCTTCAAATCTCATTAAATGCCAATATAATAATCTATAATAAAATTTTCAATGGCAGCAAAACTTAATTCATCAACATTATAGAAAAATTAATTTATGAACAAACAAATCTGCAAATAAAAGCATTTTGAAAAGGAAAATAAAGAAAGCCTGAAATGAAAATTCATTTTTTAAATTTCAGAAATAATTAAGGAATGATTAAAAAAGCAGTATTTAAATAACAGACGAAACTCAGATTTCAAAAATACAAAAATTATAATTAAATAAGAAAGGCTCATAAAAATGAATCCAGTTGCAATGAAAATGGAAACTAGGGGGGACGATCCAAGATGGCCGTTTAGGAACAGCTCAGGATTGCAGCTCCCAGTGAAAGTGCAGAGGGTGAGTGGACGCCGCGTTTTTATTGCCCACAGACTAGGAAATTCCCGGGCAGAGGAGCTCCATGGTTGCCAGCGCGGCTGTGCCGGCCAGCACCGCTGCTTTGCCCCGCGCGGCTGCTTTGTCGGCGCCCCGGAGCCGCGGTTCTCCGTACAAAATACACTGGTCCCGGGGCCCTTTAGGCTGGCAATTGGAGCCACGGGAAGTCGCCCATACGCTGGTTCAAAAAGGGGACTGAGCAGAGAACCAGGACAGTAGATTCCAGGGCAAAAAAAAAAAGAAAAAAAAGCACCACAAACCTCAGTGCCGCTGTTTAAGCCAGCGCAGTGAGTGGCCACAGGGGAAAACAAACAGACCCCGGCGCCTCTTCAACAGGCGACTGGAACACCAACTTAAAAAAGGCTCTGAGGCAAGGAGCCAGGCGATCAGGCCCGGCTGGCCCCACCCCCACAAAAGAACAGCAACCAGGAACTCTGGATTGAGAATTTCACAGCAAGCGCAGCTGAACCCGGGACGGTCCAGCTCTGTGGGGGAGGGGCGTCCGCCATTACCGAGGCAGCCCGCCGTTGCCGAGGCAACCCGCCATTGCGGAGGCAGCCCGCTGTTGCCAAGGCAACCCGCCACAGCAGAGACTCTGCCCCAACAGAGGCGGGCCACCATCGCCAAAGCAGTTCTAACTACACCCATATAAACAGGACTGCAGGGAAGTTCACTCGTCAGCGGGGCGGAGCCCACAGTAGCTCAGCAAAGCTGCTATAGGCCGACAGTAACTAGGCTGCCTCCTTGCTGGGCTGGGCAGGTCTGAAGGAAAAAAAAAAAAAAAGGCGGCAGCATAACGGAAACTCATAAATAAAGCCCTAAATCCCTGGGACAGAGCACCTGGGAACAAAAAGCAGTTTATGAGTTCTGCTGCAGCAGACCTAAAAGTACCTGCCTAGCAGCTCTGAATGAACAACAACAGAGCTCGCAGCTCATCATTTGAGCTCCTATAAAGAAGAGACCGTCTCCTCAAGCAGCTCCCTGACCCCTACATATCCAAAAAGACACCTCATAAAAGAGAGATCAGATTGACACTAGGCGGGTATCCTTCTGGGACAAAGATAGCAGAAGAAGAAAACTGGTAACAACCCTTGCTGTTCAGCAGCTGCTGCAGGTGAACCCCAGGCAAGCAGTGCCTGGAGTGAACCTCAGTAGACCTACAGCAGGGGGGCCAGACTGTCAGAAGGAAAACCAAGAAACAGAAATAACCTCATCATCAACAAACAGAACATCAATCTGAAAGATTTGAGACCCAATCTGAAAGCCAGCAACTACAAAGTCGACAGGTAGATAAATCCTTAAAGATGGGAAGAAGCCAGCGCAAAAAGGATGAAAACACCCGAAACCAGAACACCTCTCCTCCTAAAAGGGATCATAACTCCTCACCAGCAAGGGAACAAGGTTGGATGGAGAACGAGTGTGATGAAATGACAGAATCAGACTTCAGAAGGTGGGTAGTAAGAAACTTCTGTGAACTTAAAGAACATGTTCTAACCAAATGCAAAGAAACTAAGAACCTTGAAAAAAGATTTGACAAAATGCTAACAAGAATGGACAAAACAGAAAGGAATATAAGTGAATTGATGGAGCTGAAAAACGCAACACGAGAACTTCGTGAAGCATGCACAAGTATCAACAGCCGACTTGACCAAGCAGAAGAAAGGGTATCAGAGGTCGAAGATCAACTCAATGAAATAAAACGGGAAGGCAAGACTGGAGAAAAAAGGGTAAAAAGGAATGAACAAAGTCTCCAAGAAATGTGGGACTATGTGAAAAGACCTAATCTACGTTTGATAGGCATACACGAATGTGACGAAGAGAATGAATCCAAGCTGGAAAATACTCTTCAGGATATTATCCAGGAAAACTTCCCCAACCTAGCAAGGCAGGCAAACATTCAAGTCCAGGAAATACAGAGAACACCACAAAGATATTCGTCAAGAAGAGCAACCCCAAGGCACATAATCGTCAGATTCACCAGGGTCGAAATGAAGGAGAAAATACTAAGGGCAGCCAGAGAGAAAGGTCGGGTTACCCATAAAGGGAAGCCCATCAGACTCACAGCAGATCTCTCAGCAGAAACCCTACAAGCCAGAAGAGAATGGGGGCCAATATTCAACATCCTTAAAGAAAAGAACTTTCAACCCAGAATCTCCTATCCAGCCAAACTAAGCTTCATAAGTGAAGGAAAAATAAAATCCTTTGGGAACATGCAAGTACTCAGAGATTTCGTCACCACCAGGCCAGCTCTACAAGAGCTCCTGAAAGAGCCTCTACACATATAAAGGAACAACAAGTACCAGCTCAACTAAAGGGCAAAACAGCCAGCTAGCACCAAAATGGCAGTATCAAATTCACACATAACAATATTAACCCTAAATGTAAATGGACTAAATGCCCCAATCAAAAGACACAGACTGGCAAATTGGATCAAAAGACAAAACCCATCGGTGTGCTGTATCCAGGAAACCCATCTCACATGCAAGGATACACAAAGGCTCAAAATAAAGGGATGGAGGAAGATTTACCAAGCAAATGGAGAGCAAGAAAAAGCAGGAGTTGCAATTCTCATCTCTGATAAATTAGACTTTAAAGCAACAAAGATCATAAGAGACAAAGAGGGACATTACATAATGGTAAAAGGATCAATGCAACAAGAAGAGCTAACGATCCTAAATATATATGCACCCAATACAGGAGCACCCAGATACATAAGGCAAGTTCTTAATGACTTACAAAGAGACATAGACTCCCACACAATAATAGTGGGAGACTTTAACACCCCATTGTCAACATTAGACAGATCAACCAGACAGAAAATTAACAAGGATATCCAGGACTTGAACTCAGACCTGGACCAGGCAAACCTAATAGACATTTACAGAACTCTCCACCCCAAATCCACAGAATATACATTCTTCTCAGCACCACATCACACCTACTCTAAAATTGACCACATAATTGGGAGTAAATCACTCCTCAGCAAAGCAAAAGAATGGAAATCGTAACAAACAGTCTCTCAGACCACAGTGCAATCAAGTTAGAACTCAGAATTCAAAAACTAACTCAGAACCGCACAGCTTCATGGAAACTGAACAACTTGCTCTTGAATGTTGACTGGATAAACAATGAAATGAAGGCAGAAATAAAGATGTTCTTCGAAACCAACGAGAATGAAGACACAACATACCAGAATCTCTGGGACACATTTAAAGCAGTCTCTAGAGGAAAATATATAGCAATAAGTGCCCACATGAGAAGCAAGGAGAGATCAAAAATTGACGCCCTATCGTCAAAACTGAAAGAGTTAGAGGAGCAAGATCAAAAAAACTCAAAGTCTAGCAGAAGACAAGAAATAGCTAAGATCAGAGCAGAACTGAAGGAGATAGAGACACAAAAAACCCTTCAAAAAATCACTAAATCCAGGAGCTGGTTTTTTGAAAATATCAACAAAATTGACAGACCACTAGCCAGATTAATAAAAAAGAAAAGAGAATAACCAAATTGATGCAACAAAAAACGATAAAGGGGATATCACCACAGATTCCACAGAAATTCAAACCATCATCAGAGATTATTACAAACAACTCTATGCACACAAACTAATAAACCTGGAAGAAATGGATAAATTCCTGGACACTTGCCTCCTCCCAAGCCTAAACCAGGAAGAAGCCGAAACCCTGAACAGACCCATAACAGGGTCTGAAGTTGAGGCAGCAATTAAGAGCTTACCACCCAAAAAAAGCCCAGGTCCAGATGGGTTCACAGCTGAATTCTACCAGACATACAAAGAGGAGCTGGTACCATTTCTTCTGAAACTATTCCAAACAATACAAAAAGAGGGAATTCTTCCCAAATCATTTTATGACACCAACATCATCCTGATTCCAAAACCCGGCAGAGACTCAACAAGAAAAGAAAACTACAGGCCAATATCCATGATGAACATAGATGCAAAAATCTTCAATAAAATACTGACAAGCCGATTGCAACAGCACATCAAAAAGCTTATCCACCATGATCAAGTAGGCTTCATCCCGGGGATGCAAGGCTGGTTCAACATACGCAAGTCTATAAACGTAATTCACCACATAAACAGAACCAAAGACAAAAACCACATGATTATCTCAATTGATGCAGAGAAGGCCTTTGACAAAATTCAACAGCCCTTTATGCTAAAAACACTCAATAAGCTAGGTATCAATGGAACGTATCTCAAAATAATAAAAGCTATTTATGACAAACCAACAGCCAATATCATACTGAATGGGCAAAAACTGGAAGCATTCCCCTTGAAATGTGGCACCAGAAAAGGATGCCTGCTCTCACCACTGCTATTCAATATAGTATTAGAAGTTCTAGCCAGAGCAATCAGGCAAGAAAAAGAAATAAAGGGCATTCAAATAGGAAAGGAGGAAGTCAAACTGTCTCTA